TTTTAAGAAAGAATAATGTGTGTGATGTGCGCAACCGGCCAAGCTCAAGTAAGTATTCCCCAATGTACCCATACAAGTTTATTTATGTTTATCAGTTTCTGTAGAACAGCATGCTAGAATAGGACTAAGGATCTAGGAGTGATGCCTTATGTGTCTGCTTTATGTGCTTCTGTATATGAAAGAGCTGAGTAGAAGGCAAGTAGGGTAGCCTGTTTAGGTTATTCCTGATAGTACGAGTTTGGCATTGTATGCTAGTTCAGTTCTCTCTTCGAGGATAGAGTTGCTTGAGGTCGTTTTCTTACGTCCAAATGTTGCTTGCTTTGTGCTATGTGGGCCTTGAAGTGATGGGAGTTAACTGTTAGGTGAATACGTTTTAATTCACATGTGATCAGGGTTTGAATAATCTCAGAGTGTTGGATTTGACTCTATTGCGTAGCTCTTGTTTGAGTCTTAATCGTTGTAGAGATGAGTCCTTTACTCGAAGGATTATCCGAGCCTCAGCGCATGTGATTGTATTCAGGTAATAGTTAATTGGCATCACCAAGAGGCCTTCAGCAGCTGAGGGCTGGGCTGGGTAGAGTTAGAGGTTTCCTAGGGTAAGCCTAGGATAATGAGTAGCAGTGATCAGTAGTAGGGGAAGGGACCTGTTCGAGTCGAGGCGGTCTTTGGGGAAGGTACGGATAGATGTGGAAGGTAGTATGGGCCCCTACTACTGAAAGCAGAGGATCCATACCCGAACCAAGGAAGGTTAGGATAAGACTAGGGAACTAGTAGTGGGTGGGATCCCTCCAGGGGTATCAGTATCGCTAACAGTTGTTATTTCTTTGTCTTTCAGAATGGTGGTACTACGCCCGAGACCAGCAGTTGGCAGTTGAGGAGAGGGATCGGGTTCGGGATCAGGTTCCGAGCCAGTAGATGAGAGGCTACGGGAGTTCATCACGTCAGAGATCACTAGAGGTATCCTTGAGTCGACCCCCATTATCTTCGGGTCGATCAAGGAAGGGATCATCGAGTTGATGGAGGATCGCCTCAGGGCGTTTAGGAGCGGCATGGCATATGGCCAGTTGGGATCTCGCACGCTGTCCTTTAAGGACTTCAGGGGCAGCGGTGCACCGGATTTCCACGGGGTGAAGGACCCCATTGCTGCCATGCGGTGGATTGCATACATCGAGTCTGCGCAGTTGACTAGCTTCTGCCCTGAGGGGTCGAAGGTGATGTATGCAGCAGGGTGTTTATGAGACCGAGCTCGAGATTGGTGGGAGTCAGTGGGTTATTCTTTGGGAGTCTCAGCTATTGAGGCTATGACCTGGTCAGACTTTGTGACCAGGTTCAGGGCAGAGTTTGCGCCGGCTGTCGAGCTTCAGCAGCTGGCCAGGGAGTTTTTGGATATGAGGCAGACGACAGAGACTGAGGCGGAAATCACCGCCAAGTTCGAGGAGAGGGCATTACTGGTGCCCCAGTACGTAGGAGATGAGGATATGAGGAGGACCCGCTACCATGACATGCTACGGGCTGATATCCAGGAGCACGTCAGTTTTTCAGCTTGCCCCAACCTGGACTCCATGATTGCCAGGGCGAGGGAGAGAGAGATAGATTTGGAGCACCTCCGGAAACGGAAGTCAGAGGAGGGTCCGACAGGAGGGGCTTCGGGGAAGAAGCCCAAGGGATCAGACGGGAGGCCGAAAGGCCAATCAGGACCGAGCCGCTGCAGGAAATGTGGCAGGCCGCACGTGGGGACGTGCAGGTTGGGATCATCGGGCTGCTACAAGTGCGGCAAGTTTGGACACTTTAGCAGGGATTGCACTGCTCCAGCAACAGTTGTTCCGACATCGGAGTTGCTGTGTTTCCACTGCAACCAGAGGGGCCACTAGAAGGCCAATTGCCCCCAGTTGACATGTTCAACGCCGGTAAAGGCGCCAGCTCCAGCGACCCTGCGGATCATAGATGGCCGGCATGGAAAGGCAGAGGCTCCAGTGGTGAGGAGCCGAGCATTCCAGCTGACCACCGAGGAGGCACGTGCAGCACCCAATGTGGTGACGGGTATGATTCTTTTCCCATCTCGTTTATTTATATGATGTTATGATATTGATATGTGCCCGGTATATGTATATGTGTTAGAATCGTTCCATGTGAAGGTATCCCAGTCCAGGTGTTGTTCGACTCGGGTGCATCCCGATCATTTGTGTCCCTTGCGCTTAGCAAGAAGTTTTCTGAGTCTTCGGGCATGCTAGATTACCCTTTGGAATACAGATTGCTGATGATCGATCGGTACGAGCATCGATGGTATTTCGGGACTGCGTGTTGCGTTTGTTCGAGGGGCGCTACTTAGTGGATTTGGTTCCCATTCCGTTGCGTGGGAACAAGGTGATCATAGGCATGGACTGGTTGAGCCCTAATGGGGCGGTGATAGATTGTGCGCAGCAACTAGTGCGAGTCAGGACCCTAGGTGGGGGAGAGTTAGTGATCCATGGCGAGAGGCCACAGCGCGGACCCACTGTATGTTCAGCCGCGAGGGCTAGACGTTACCTTCAGTAGGGATGCGCAGGATATGTCGCGTACGTGATGGATACCCGGGAGGCGGGTAATGCGACCGTGAGCGAGGTTCCAGTGGTGCGAGACTTCGCAGATGTTTTCCCAGAGGAGCTTCCTGGGATACCTCCGGAGCGACAGGTGGAGTTCAGGATTGACCTCGTTCCTGGTGCGGCACCGATAGCCAAGGCACCATATCGGCTGGCTCCTCCCGAGATGCAGGAGTTGTCTACGTAGCTGCAGGAGCTACTCGACAAGGGATTCATTAGACCGAGCAGTTCACCCTGGGGATCCCCGATTCTGTTTGTGAAGAAGAAGGATGGGTCGCACCGGATGTGTATAGGTTATCGGGAGTTGAATAAGGTAATGGTGAAGAACCGTTACCCACTCCCGAGGATGGATGATCTCTTTGATCAGCTCCAGGGAGCATCT